GCTCCACATCCTCACCAGCACTTGATACAGTCAGGTATTCAGCCCCTGTGTGTCTTGTTTTTTGTTGTTTGGGTTTTGGGGGGTTTTAGTCAGCAGAGTGATGCGCCCAATGTGGTGAGCCTCCAGACAATGGCAGGTGAGCCACAGAAGGCCCACTGCGCTGATTGACATCTCACTGATAACCCATGATGCCCAACAACTTTCCATGTGCTTCTGACATATATATACATAGATGTTCATGGGTAGATCACTTGCTTGTATCTCTGCTCACTTTTTAGTTGAGCTGTGGTTTCTTATTGTAGTTCGGAAGTCTTTTGGCTGGAGTTCTTCATAGATTTTTTTTTTGTTTCTGAAAACAGTGATTTTTTTTTTAACTCTTCACTCTCTTCACTGGTACTTCCTTTCCAATATTTTCTTCTAAAAATGTTATCTTACGCCTTGCATTTAAGTCTGTTATCCATCCCAGAGCAAAGTTCTGCATGTGGTATGGTTCCAAGTCCATTTTCTTGGTATATGGACATCAAACCTTTCCAGGAGCATTTGTTAAAAACATTCTTTTTGGTAAAATAATGTTTCTAATAATAAAATCAAGACATCTCTATAACATTGAAAAGTATTGAGCCTTTATAGTGCCAATATTTTATTTATAGGTTGCCTAGGTACATTTTAAGGGTATGGGTGAGAGGGAGGAGGATGAGTTTTAAGCACATACTTTACAAAATTGCAGGCATAGTCAATAAACTTATTCTGTGCACCACTGTTTAAAATTTTTAACATTAGTTTCCTGACTTCTCTGGATTTTCCAATTGAAGCATGCATATCTAAGAATTCAAAGCTAGCATACAGCAATAACAGAGAACATGTGAGATTTGTCTTTCTGGGTCTCAGTGGTTGCTTCCAGTTCCATCCATTTACCTGCAAATTTCATAATTTCATTTTTTTCAACAGCTGAGTAACATTCCACTGTGTAAATATACCATACTTTCATTATCCATTCATCAGTTGATGGACATCTGGGCTGTTTCCATTTCCTGGCTGTTGTGAATAGGGCAGCAGTGAACATGGATGAGCAGGTGTCTCTGTAGTAAGAGATAGAATCTTTGGGATATGTGTCCAGGAGCGGCATGGATGCATCATATGGTAGATCACTTTTGAGCTTTTTGAGGAATCTCCATGTGGATTTCCATAGTGGCTGCACCAGTTTTCCCTCCCACCAGCAGTAGAGAAGAGGCCCCTTCCTCTGTGTCCTCTCCAGCCTTCGTTGTTTGAGTTTGGATCTTGGCCATTCTGGGAGGGATAAGATGAAACCTCAAAAGTGTTTAATCTGCATTTCCCTGATGACTAAAGATGGTGAACATTTTCATCTTTTGAGAACTCTCTGGTCAGCTCCTTGCCCCACTTTTTAATTGGGTTGTTTTGCTTTTTATGTTTTGTTTTTTTTACTTCTTTGTATATTTTCAATAACTAACCCTCTGTCAGAAGTATGGCTGGTAAAGACTTTTTCCCATTCTTTAGGTCGCCTCTGGGAGAGGGAGAGCCCATTTTCTTTAATGGTATGACCCTTGACCATTCTCCAGGGCAGGCTCCACACTCAGTAGTATTTGGGCAGCACAAAGCGGACTTGAGTGGGAAAAACTGGGTGGGTAGGGAGGTGGAAGCAGATCTGTAAGAAGTTGGAGAGGATATGATCAAAATACACAGTATGAAATTCTCAAAAAAAATTAAAATATTAAAAATAAATAACAATCTTAACATGTTTCCCATGTAATTTAGCATTTTGTTCTTAACTGCTTTTTTCCATATCATTTAACAATCTTAAACTTGGCAGAGTTTTCCAGGTCTGGTGTCGCACACCTTTAATCCCAGCATTCAGGTTTGAGGCCAGCCTGGTCTATGTCACAAGTTCCAGGCCAGCTGAAGCTACAAGGAAGCCTGTCTCAAAAGATTAAAAAAAAAACAACAACAACACAACAACAACAACAACAAAAAAAAAAAACACTTGGCGGACTTTAATAGCTGCATAGTTATTCTGACATAGATAGACTGTTATATTATTAGACATTACCAATTTTATTCTTCAAATATACTTTGAATGTCTTTATACTTAAATCTTTTCCCTTTTTGGCTTTAATTTTTTGACACAAAATACCAAGTCCAATATATGGCTTTTAAAGGACTTTGTTTATGCATTTCTGCAATTATTCCAAAAAAGTTTCAGCAGTGTGTACTCCCATCAGCAGTAGCTAAGAGATGGAATCCTTTGTGGCAAGTTCTGTTTGTTTTTATAAAGCCCTTAAGGATGCTGCCCTAGCCAGCCCTGTTGCTTAGCCCCGTCCAGTGTCTTGTTCTTTATTGTTATAAGATACAAACAGGACCCTTCTACTCAGCCATGGCCAAGATGAGCAAACTTTGTGAATTTCTTCCCCCTGGGACCAGGAGAAATTTACCAAGGTGAATGCTCATCCCTTCTAAGTCAGCTGTTGAAGCCCGGCCCCCAACACCCTTCTCTGGACTGATTCTACAGTTTCCTCTAGAAGACCTTGCTCTCTTCCACACCTGATCATCTACATTCTAGCCAACACACACACACACACACACACACGCACACACACACACACACACACTGCACCCCCACCCTGCTGCACTCTTCCTTTTCTCCTCTTTCTCTCTCCTCTCCCCTTCCTGCCTCCCCCCTCCTCCTCTTCCACTTCATTTTCCACTCTCCTCTCTCTTCCTTCCCCTCCTTTCCTCCTGTCTTCCCTCTCATCTCTCCCTCCTCTTCCCCTCTTCCCTCCAGCCCCTTCTTCCTCTTTCCCCCTCCCTCCTTCCTGGAATGGTACTATTGATTATTAACTTGAGGAAACCTGGAATCACCTAGGAGACAAGCCTCTAGACAGTGCTGTGAGGAAATTCATTGATTGGTAAATTGAGGTGGGAAGACTAATCTGAGAATGCACAGTACTTGGCTCTATAAAAGGAGAGAGAGAGCTGAGTACAGGCATTCATGACTGGTTGCTTCAAGTTCCTGCCACCATGATGGATGTTCCTTCAAGCAGTGAGCAAAAATAAACCTTAGGTTGCATCCATCCAAGTATTTTATCCCAGCAACAAAAAAGTAACCAGGACACTTTCCCTCACCCCTCTTTCTCTCCATTCCCTGCTCCCCTCCCTCCTCTCTCCCTTCTCCCCTCCTCCTTTCTTCTTCCTTTTTTCCCCTTCCTCTCCCCCTTCATCCTTCCCTCCTGCTTTCCTCGTCTCTTCACCCCC